GCTTCTCTTCAGCAGGGACAGGGAAGCTGGTCAGAGTTGATGGGAAGATGGATGGAGCCAAATACAGGGCAATCTTGGAAGAAAACCTCTTGGAGTCTGCAAAAGACTTGAGACTGCAAGAGGTTTTCTTTCCAGCAGGACAACGACCCTAAACATAAAGCCAGGGCAACAATGGGATGGTTGAAAACAAAACACATCCATGTGTTAGAAGGGCCCAGTCAAAGTCCAGATCTAAATCCAATCCAGAATCTGTGGCAAGATGTGAAAGCTGCTGTTCACAAACGCTGCCCATCTAATGTGACTGAGCTGGAGCTGTTTCAAAGAAGAATGGGCAAAGATTTCAGTCTGTAGATGTGCAAAGCTGGTAGAGACAGACCCTGAAAGACTGGCAGCTGGAACTGCAGCAAAAGCTGGTTCTACACAGTATTGACTCAGGGGCTGAATAATTGCACACACCCCACTTTGCAGTTATTTATTTGTAAAAAATGTTGGGAATCATGTCTGATTTTCGTTCCACTTCTCACGTGTGCACCACTTTGTGTTGGTCTTTCACGTGGACTTCCAATAACATTGATTCATGTTTGTGGCTGTAATGTGACAAAATGTGGGAAAGTTCAAGGGGCCGAATACTTTTGCAACCACTGTAAATACAATAAAATCATGAAGATCAAAACAACTCTAAACCTATCACTGCTTCTTCACATCCAGACAAGATAAAAACATAATGGGATAACTTTTTTTCTTTTTTAAATTCACCAAACTTTTATTGTTGCAAATGTTGAGTGTTATATACTCACTGGATTGTCACAGAAGCCATAGAGCTTAACAATGTTGGAATGATTCACTCGGGAGAGCTGGCGGAGCTGTGCATAGACAAAAGCAGCACAGGTGTAAAGAACATATACATTTAAAAAAAGCAGTCAGAGCGTGCAAACCTCCCCCAAGGGAGCTCACTTTCTGAGCACTGTTTACTTTGAAGGGAATAGTATTCTATTTTATATATATTAATTTTGTTTTTGCAAAAAAAACCCCCAAAAATAAACATTCAATAAGGGCAAAATTAGAGATGTTTACTTTAATTACGCTAACATTATGTGGGAGCAGCTAATCCATAACAGACACTGATTTATAAAAAACTGAACATGAATAACTGAAGTTTATTACGGAAGAGGATTAGGGCCACTGGGGGGGAAAAAAAAAAAAAAGAAGTGGGCACGTCTTTTTTTTTCTTTTTTCTTCTTTTCCAGAATTCTGAGAAAAAAGTCAGAATTCTGACTTTAGACATGCTAGACCAGGGGTGGGCAATTCCAGGCCTCGAGGGCCGGTGTCCTGCAGGTTTTAGATCTCACCTTGGGTCAACACACCTGAATCACATGATTAGTTCGTTACCAGGCCTCTGGAGAACTTCAAGACATGTTGAGGAGCTAATTTAGCCATTTAAATCAGCTGTGTTGGTTCAAGGACACATAAAACCTGCAGGGACACTCGAGGCCTGGAGTTGCCCACCCCTGTGCTAGACCATCCTTAGACTTGGTCAGATTTGCTTCTGGAATATTTCTGAAAAAATGGCTTGTGTCTTCTATTATCTGAAAGGTTGGCAGCTGACATACTCACAGCAGAACCTTAGTTCACTGACAAAGGCCTTGATTTTTTGGATACTGGGGAAAAAAAAAAAAAACAACTCTGAAGGTTGGAGATGTTTTAACCAAAGACAAAACCCTTCCAAGCACTGACCAACACGTTCACAAAGTGGAGATGAAGACTGTAAAAGGAGGAACTGTCAGGCCAATTTTAGTCATTGTAATCCTCCTTTCTGGGAAAATTTGAAGTAAAACTAAAAAGCTTCTGTTTCACACTTAAAAAAAAAAGAAAGAAAAGAATTTCTTTTCATTGTAGTTTATATAGTGGCATAATAGAATCACGCCAAACACGGAGTATACTGTCTTTCTTAGAAATTAACAGATTTCAGTGCACATGTTATTGACACCAGAGCAAATGGGGCTGTTGGTGAAGGACAGTCAGGGCAGGCCTCCTGGCAGTCCTATAAGATAGGAGACTGGCTGTGTGCAGTCTGATCCGGATTATCTGGGTAGAGTGCTGTGCAAACCTGTAGAAGACTGCCCATGGTTCCCAAGTGCAGGTTGAGAAAATAGTCTTACTGTGGTGTCATCTTCTTGAAACGCCCACTTCGTCTTTGACATCCCCCATTGTATGGCACTTGGCCTTAAATTTAAGAGATGGTAGTAGAGTTCACATCAAATAATGCTGCAATTTGGTTTTGCAGAACAAGAGTTTGAATGGGGCCTGCTGCCCTATGGGGAAGGCCCTATTCAGATCAGTTAAATGTGGAATGTTTGGAGCAGACAAAACTGGCTGCTGTAGTGGGGTCTGTGTGCACAGATGCCACTACTCAGGTGCCCATCAGACACCTGATTGGCAAGAGTCAATAGCAGAAGATGCTATTTAGCACTGACAGAGAAGATCTGGCAAGTATTTCAATTTACTCAACTCTGCTGCTCAACAAACAAATGCATTTTCCTTAAAAATGTGGCACCATTTAGGGGACACAAGGAGAAGATAAGAAGAAAAGATAGCTGTAGGCCTCAGGGAAGCTGTTGCATGGTGCCATGGGTTCATCTAGTGTGTATCAGTACTGACAGGTATTTATGTTTCTCGGTCCACTGGATTAAAATGGGAGACAGCACTTCATCTACTATATGTCGTGGCATTGGGTAATTGTGGACCTTCACTGATGATAGCACGTGGATGAGTGGAGAAAGAAAGCTTAATATGAATATATTAAGAGTTGACTGAACCAACTCTGATCGGCTGTTTTGTAACGGAAAACCCAGGAGTTTGCGTTTTCTATCATTCACACTCCAATGAATGCACTGGAGAGCAACTTGGGTTTAGCTGGCACGCAGGCGGGAGCAGGCAGGGCCAGAACCACCAGCCTTCTGATTGGTGGGTGACGTCCTCTACGTCCTGAGCCACAGCCTGGAGGCAGAGCAGGTAGGTAGCCTGTGCTGGCAGTACATTCACAGTGAGTGGAGCTTTCCAGCCAAATGTGGTGTTTCAGTGTCATCTGGTTAAATCTACTTGTCCACATTTTATTTGCTTTACTGCCTATGAAAAGTTATTTTTCCTATTACATTAAGATATGTGATACTGTACAACAGATGGGCACAAAAAAGGATATTCACAGTACCTCAACAAGGAAAGCATTCCGTTCATTGTCACTCTCAATGGTCTTGATTGCTACATCCTTTCCTTTCCACACAGCTTTGAAGACAACCCCAAAAGTCCCTCTGCCAACAGCCTGAAGACAAAGAACATGGAAAATTAACAGCTGCAACTCGGGGGACAATACTCTGTTGTTATTTTCCCTTAATACCAGAAGAGGGACTACAGTAACATTTACTTTAAAAATACATTTTATTGTATATCAGTCGTCATCGTATCATATAAAATAGCTTAACTGGGAATCACTAGTTCACATATTATGAGTAACTCTGTCCTTTAAAAACCGGGGCGTCGTTATGATTACTAGCAGGTTTATTCAGTAGTAAACACTGTCATGTTTTATATCTTGTGACAGACTCTCACTGTACTTCGCAGTTCAGAACAGTACCCCTTCAAAGCGAACAAACAGATCAGACTTCTTTGGCCCATTACAGTCTAACCGAGCCTTACTCAGACAGAAACGTAGCTGACCCAAACTCAGCCACTGATCTCTAGCACCGCTGAGCTAACATTAGTTTCAATATATATCTTTAAATTACCGCTTCTACTTGGATATCTGCGTACTGGATGTCCTCAAACATACACCCAGCTAGAGTCTCCACCATCGTGGCAGAGAGCCGACACTCCTCGAAGCAAGCCGACGACGCTGGACTTACAAACTGAGGTTTATCGTCTTTTTATCAGAAAAAAAACCTTGGGGGAGTCCTGCCGAGCTGCCTTACTCATCTGTTGCTCTGAATTCAGGAAGTAGACACCAACAGCTCGCGCAGTGGCTAGATACGTCTGTGATATGCGCGCTCGTGAACGCTGCACAGCACACAGTGCCTAAATACAAGAAGTAAACAGCGCAACGGATAAGTTAAATCGTAATGAAACTGGTTTACAAACACAGTTTATTTCTACGTAAAACCTTGTGGTATAAATTATTTGTTTAAAAAAGGCCAAATCAATCAAGCTGTTAGTGATTCGCAGTCTTGAATGCTGCTTTTGTTTTGTTTTTGTCTGCACAAGAACCTCCACCAGGGGCGACAGACCACATGTGCCACGGTTTGTACAGTTTGTCTTCCCAGACAGCACGCACCATCATTGACCATGCCGCTATAAAGGAGTGCAGTTAGTACGACACAGAGTACATAACAGCGCGATGTTACGTTGAATTCGTTGATAAAGGTTAGGCTGGAGATAAGGAAGAGCGGGGGAGGTGTGATGGAAGCGAGGAGACAGGCGCCGGGAGTCGCCACGGATGGATCTGTGATCATTTTAGAGTGGCATACATGTCTCACAAAAATAAAATATTTGGAATGCAGGTAGTGGTGGAAAAAGATCAAATGACATCATATTTTACAAGGATGCTATGTGTTTTCATTCATATTTGTTGGAGAGGTTATGAGCAGATCAGTCTACTCTTCATTTTATCAGATGCAATTGATCCCAGCTTGTGAATTTTCGTTTTACCCACTTAAGTAAGCTTTTAGATCAGGGGTGTCAAACGTACGGCCCGCGGGCCAGATCAGGCCCGCAAATGGGTTTAATCCGGCCTGTGAGATGATTTTGTAAAGTATAAAAATGAGCAGCAATTTTTAAATAAAGAAACTGCTGTTCCAATTGTGTCCGTTGGATGGTGCAATAGCAATTGTGAGCTACTTTGTTTTGCCAGCGAAATTTAAACCTGATGTGCAATATGTCTCTGTCAAAAAAGAGAAAAGTGGATGCAGAGTGCAGAGTGTTCCAAGAAAAATGGTCATCCTCCTATTTATTCACGGAAGTGAATGGGAAAGCTGTATGTTTGGTGTGTTCCCAGCATGTTGCAGTGCTGAATGAATGTAACCTCTGTTGCCTCTATGTGAGTCTTCATGCCGACAAATATGACAACTTTCAAGGACAGCGGAGAAGAGAGAAGGTGAATGAACTGTTGGCGGGTCTGAAGAAACAGCAGTCTGTGTTTACTCACAGCCGAGACATCAGTGATGCTGCAGTGAAAGCTAGCTACCTCAGTTGCTAACGACATTGCACTAGCTTCAAAACCATTTAGTGAGGGTGAATTTGTAAAAACATGTATGATGAAGGCATCGGAGATTGTGTGCCCTGAAAAGCGCCAGGCCTTTGCAAGTATCAGCCTGACAAGAAACACAGTTGTCGACAGGATTTCTGATCTTTCAGCGGACTTGGACAGCCAGTTGAAGCAAAAAATAAAGTAATTTATTGTGTTTTCAGTTGCAATTGATGAAGGCACGGACATTACAGATGTTGCACAACTGGCAATTTTCATCCGCGGAGTTGATGTCACATTGACCGTCACCGAGCAGTTCGTGGAGTTGGTACCCATAGCAGATACAATGACCGCAGCTGATATTTTCACCCCACTCGTAGGGTCGGGTTAGGGTTAGGGTCGGAGTGGACTGGTCCCGCGCTGTCAGCCTGGCTACAGATGGTGCACCCTCAATGATCGGGAAGAAAGCAGGCGTTGTAAAAAGGTTCAGAGATAAAGTGCAATCTGCAAATGGAGGATGTGGTTTTTGGACTTTTCACTGTATTTTGCACCAGGAGGCTTTGTGTTGCAAGTCACTGAAAATGGATAACGTCATGAAGGTGGTCATCCAAACTGTTAATTTCATCCAGAAGCCTCAATCACCGTCAGTTTGACAGCCTTCTCAGAGAGAAAGACCACATCTATGGCCTGCGTTACCACACTGAGGTAAGATGGTTGAGCCGAGGTGCTGTGCTGAGGCGTTTCTTTGATTTACGAGAAGAAATTGAACAGTTTATGGAAGAAAAGGGCAAACCAGTGTTAGAATTTCATTCCGCAGAATGGATGCAGGACCTTGCATTTATGGTGGATGTTACAGAGCACCTGAATAACTTGAACAAACAGCTGCAAGGACGCAACAAAGTTGTCACGCAGTATTATGACAGCATACGTTCTTTCAAGTTGAAGCTGTTATTGTGGGAGACGCAGCTCGCTGGTGGTGATGCAGCTCACTTCCCCTGTCTGAAAAATGTGTGCACGATCCAAAGTGTGGCGGATATGAAGCGCTTTAAAGATAAAATAACGGGACTGTTACTAGAGTTTGAGCAACGATTTCAGATTTTTGGTGAACTGGGGAAAGACTTCAAAGTTTTTTGCTCGCCGTTCACCGTGAATCCCTTTGATCTGCCCGTCCGGATCCAACTTGAAATAATAGACTTGCAGCGTGACTCGGATTTGAAGGGCAAATTTGCCGCAGCTGGCTTGAACACATTCCATCACAATCTCTTGCCAGGTTACCCCAACTTGACAGCCCTCGCTGCAAAACTGTTGTGCATATTCAGAACCGCGTATCTTTGTGAGCAAGTTTTCTCTGTAATGAGCATAAATAAAACAAAACTGCGCTCAAGGCTCACGCAAAGGCACTTGAATCACATCCTGAAGTTAGCTGCCGCTCAGGATGTGAAGCCTGATATTGATGAGCTGGTGAAAGCTAAAAGATGCCAGGTATCAGGAGTCAAATAAACTATGCAACCCCACTGAAAGTGCTGCATGAGACACCCTGATATAGTTCTGTGATCTGTGAAACAGTTCTGTGAATCACTGAGGCACTGTGTGCTTGTGTGTTCTTTGTCCTCAGAATTTTCAAATAACTCTGAGATGTTTTATGATTAATAGCTATGTTGTGCCTGTACTATTTTGAACATACTGTCCACAGGCTCTAGCTTTATTTTTATGTTGATCGTATTAAAACAAAGAAAACAATCTGAAGTTGTTGTTTTTAAGTTATATATATACAATGATTTTACCAGTCCGGCCCACTTGAGAATAGACTTTTCTCCATGTGGCCCCTGAACTAAAATGTTTTAGATAAATGGAGTGGTGCTAAAGAACAAGTCAAAACCAGTCAAAAGTTTGTATGCACCTTCTCATTTAATGGTTTTTCTGTATGTTCATTACTATTTATGTTGCAGAATTTTGCTGAAGGCATCAATGAATGAACCTCATCGAGTCACTGAGCAAATGCCAAGAGTGTGCAAAGCAGTAATCAAAGCAAAGTGTGACCAATTTGAAGAATCTAAAATATGAAACATGTTTTTTCACACTTTTTTGTTTACTACATAGTTTTGATGCATTCACTGAGAATTTTCCAATGTAAATAGTCATTAAAATAAAGAAAGTCCATTAAATGAGAAGGTGTGTCCACACTTTTGACTGGTAGTGTATATATAATACAGCCGTATATAAGCTGTGACATATTTGTTTGTGAGAAGATAAAGAGTGATATCAAACAGAAATAAATGCTCCTTGAATTTTTACTAAACTTCAGTATTTGAAACAGAGTTACATTTCGCTGCTGTAAAATTTGGATTAAATATATTTCATATGTTAAAATAAAAAATGTAATGATGGCCATATTATATTTCCATTATAATACCAAAGTGTAACAGACTCTAGTCTCATGAACTACATTAGCTAACTGCTGTTTACTAGCTAATGTTAAATTTACTGTTGCAGCCTAATCATGTTTTTACAGTCTCATGGTCTCTCAGCCTCAGATGCATTTTATACCAATGAAACATGTCAACTAAAGTAAGACAAATTAGATAAAATGAAGATTTCCTGCTTTATTTATGTAAAACATGGTAAATGGTCTGATTCTTATATAGCGCTTTTCTACTCTCCCGGAGTACTCAAAGCGCTGTATACAACATGCCTCATTCACCCATTCACTTCTAAACACAAGTGCAAACTGAACTACATTCACACGATGAACGCATCGGAGGGCAACTTGGGGTTAGTATCTTGCCCAAGGATATTTGGCATGCAGACTGGGAAGCCAAGGATCGAACCACCAACTTTCCGATCAGTAGCTGAGCTGCTCTACCACCTGAGCCACAGCCACCTGAAACAATGCTGTATAAAACATTATTAGCCACTAATTTCATAGTTGCTAGGGAACATAGCAGAACCTGGCTGTACTAGTAAGAACGACATACAGCGGCTGGTGGCTGGTGTACAGGAACATTTGTGCTAAGTATAACCTGGAAGTACCTAGGTCTAAAAGGGGTATGCCCTCTAGGGTGGCTCACAATGACTGAGCTAAGATCCTATGGGACTTCCAGGTACAGATGAACAAACTGGTGTTAGCTAACCAACCGACAAGAAGTGGTGGAGAGAATTTTTTTGACCAGCCTGCAGGGCTAGATGGTAATTCTTTTATTTGAATTTAAATTTCAGGAAATTTAATTGTTTAGAAATATATATTTTTAAAGTTGAGTAAATGTTTAACTTAATCACCTTGTTAAATAATCAAGATTACAGTTTGTGTCCAAAATAATGATATTTGTGATATTTGCCATAAACAAAACATCCTTAAAAGTTCATAGGACCTAAGTCCTTTTCAGCATGCTTATTTCATAGGTAAGGAGGTGAAAACTCTATGGTCCATTCTTCCACCTTTCCAGGCCTGATTTGACTGAGATGATTTGTTCATAAGGTATGATGTAGGATAACTTGAGATAGTAATCTTAATATGATTGAATTTATTTTAAGCTTGGCCAAGTAGTTAGTTTGTGCTGAATTAGAAATGTATATGAAAAAAACGTGAATTTAAGATATCAATTGTAACTGCCTTTTAAAGTTAACTTTAGCTATCAGGCTAGGGATAGGATGGACTAATATAAAGTTAAAGCAGTGATTGAGGAGTCAAGATGGCAGTTTTTAAAGGTTTATTTCCTCCTAGTTTAATGCTCTGGTTCAGACTGACATTTAACTTCAGGGAGAGCTAAAGCCAACATAACAGACAAAACATCCCTAATAGAAAATAAAAGGAACTTACCTAATTCCAAAGAAAACAAATAC